CATCATTTTCTTCATTTTTATGCTCTCAGCCCAATCTAGCCAACTCAATTCTTAAAGGAGCCGACTGGGTTCTTTTGCACCTCATTTTGGTCACTTTTGGTGCTCTCGGCCTAAAAGAGCCAACTCAGTTGCCAACTGAGTCGACTAAGTTTGGCTGCAACAATGACCTGTCTTTAAATGGTCATAATTTGTTCATCGGAGGTCCAAATTAGGTCATTCTTGAGTCTAAATTCAAGAGTTTGAAGTCAACTTTCCAATGGTACCAACTACACCCTGAAATTCCAACCGTAGTGAGAGTTATGATGGTTTTAGTGACATAGGGTTGTGGTATCTCCTAATTAGAGGATGTCTCCTTGTTCTATCTTCATATCTTTGTCATCCGAACTCCGAATCAAGTGTTTCTTGAGTCTATCTTTGTTAATTTTTCGTTGTGTTTCCAATGGTGTGCACGGTGGCACCTATTTTAGTGTGAAATAACCATTTTGCCCTTAATTCATTTCTTTTTGGGTTTGGCATTCTTGCTTCATTGCTTAGCTCATTTGAGTTTTATGACTTCATGTGGAGTCATTTTGGTGCCTTAAGGATAACGTACATCTCTAGAAGTCACCTTTCTTCTTTCGCTTCTGTATTTCGGATCCGTTATCGTATCATTTTTTCGGTTCATCACTGACGCATCGGGTTGAAAAACTTGGGCCGTCACAAATAGTATGAATTTTTTTCATAATTTATTTAAATAAAAAATATATATGAAATGTAATTCAATAAGAAGGAGCATTATGGTCATTTAATGAAATATAGTATAGTCCTTGGGGTATGTTGCAACAAAATTAGATAGTTTAGGGGGTTTTATGTACAAAATATAATTCAAGGGGGTTATTTGCAAATTCAAACATAATTCAAGAAAAATTTTTACACTTTACCTTAAATGAATTGATAATGAACTATTGACCCACTATTCACTCGCCCACCGAATTACCACCCCTAATACATCTAACCAACAAAATATTGGGCTTGTTGAGCGTAAGTCTCAACATCCTTATAAAGGTGAAAAGGAACATTTTATTCTCTCTTTTTCTCTTTGATTAGTGTATGGAAAAGTGAAGCATGTCACAAATAAATTCGTGATATGTAATTATGTGATATGTAATTATGTATTATATGATGGCCATTTGATAAGTACACAAAACCTATTACTTCATGTACCAAAATAAGCTTTTAATTAGACTTTAATATTATTTAAACATTCTTATATGCTCGTTTTGTGTTATATAGGTGTTAATGTATGAAAAAAAAAAATAAAAAAAAAAAGAAAGTAAAAATAAAAGTCAGCGAGAGAGAGAGAGAGAGAAAAAAAAAAAAAGGTGTGTGTGCACGCAGATTTTTTTTTTTTCCTTTACTATTATATATATATATGTGTGTGTGTGTGTGGTGCCCCCAGAAACTTGTTTTTACCAATTAAATTACTGATGAAGAAAGCGTTTTGATGCACCTTCACCTACAGAGTCAAAACAATTTTATAAAAAATAAAATATTTACCGTGAGACTATCGAAACCCTTTAATCGTTTTACCCATTTTCCTTGTTCGCTCAAAACCCTTTGATTTACCCCTTTTCCTTATTTGATTTATCCCTTTTCCTTATTCGCTCTCTACTTCTCTGCTATGGAAGACTGAATTGCCGACTGAAAAACAACAACAATTCTTTGGGAGACTTCTCATCGAGTCATCGACACAAATACCCAATACAGCAGTACCCCCTTATATATTTGCTTCAATATTTTCCTTCTATTTTTCTCCCTTATATATTTTCCTTCTATTTTTCTTTCTTCTTTTATCCTTCTTCTGTTCTTCAAATAAAAAAACCCTACATAAGAAGAACTGGAATGTTTCCACACTGTCACGGTCACATGGAAATTTGGAATCACGGATACAAAATTATATATATATATATATATATATATATATATATATATAATCCAAAAAAATAAATAAATAAACCCAAAAATTTTTCTTTTCAAAAATTTCCTTTCATGGTTTCCTTCCTTTTTTTATATATTAAAGACTAAAGTTACTTTTTTTTATGTCCCCCAATAAATATATCACAATAATTTAATAGTAATTTTTTTTTTTTTTTTTCCAAATATTTGTGTGATTAAATTACTTAAATTAGAATCTTAAATAAATAAGAGGAATAAAAATTCTATTGATATGAATTATATGATGTTATTGTTGGCTGAATTTTGTTCTATAACTAACACCTTGTTATAAATTTTTTTTTTTTGGACAAATGACAATAAATGACTTGGAATTTTCTTTGTGTACTGTGTAATATATATTTGCCATCTTAGTTGATATATATATATTTTCTCAAGTACATTGTGTCCCCCTGACTTAAAATCCTAGCTTCGTCCCTGCGTGCACGTGAAAAAGAGAAAGGAAGAGAGAGAAATAATAAAAGAAGAGAAGAAAATAAAAGAAAAGAAAAGTCAACAAAGGTGAAGAAGTGGTAAGAAGTTAGGAAGAAAAGGTGAAGAAGTAGTTGATATAGAAAAGTTCAGGGTAAGATGCAGCGAGGTGGCATGAAGGAAGAAAGAAGTCAGAAGTATTGATCAGAAGGCAACAAGTGGGGATACACAATTTTGGCTATAAATAGCCGACTCTGGAGCATTCAAAAGAGGAGATAGATAGAATGATATAATAGATTCTTAGAGTTTTCCTTTTTGTTTCTAATTGTAATTTTCTTCTCAATGCATTGTTGTTTTATTACTCATTAGTTTCTTGCTCTCAATTTATATACTTGAAATTTCTCATTCTAATATTGCTTTAAATATTTGTTGTCCAATATTCATTTCTAGTTAATAACAAACTCCAAAATCAATGTTTTAAAAATCTCTTATCCGAAAACAAAAACTCACTTGAATGCATGGTTCGACCCTACTTGCCATTATACATTTTTAGTTAAATGGTTGTAGGTATTTTATCTTGATATAGAATGTATTTGACAACGATAAGTCCATAAATACACGCCTATCACCGTTCCACGTCTATCAAGATAATAGTAATTTACTATTTACTATTTATTTTTTATTTTATTATAGAAAAAGAAAAAAAATAATGACGCAATTTGATTCACAGTCCATTCTATAGTATTTTGATACAAAGTTGAGGATTAAGAATCGAGGTACCATTTGATAATTCATTTTAATTCTTAGTTCTTAAAAAAAATAAATGTATTTCTATTAATTTTTTTATTTGTATTACTATTTATAATTTTTGTTAAAATTTTAAAAATGTCCCCTCTCAATTTGTAAATTTTTAAAAAAAGCTCCCTCAATTTGTAAAAATACCACATCTTGCCCCTTCTTATTTTTTTAATATAAAGATAATCATCTCTTTTTTCACCCGCCACATTCATGTTTCTCTCACACACTTTGATATTTCCACTTAATTTTTAAAAATACCCACTATATATATTCTTGTATTTTAGATCCAAAAGAAATAAAGCAAATCGAATTTTTATTTCTTCACGTCCACATCTATAGTAATTTAGAAACCACGAACATAATAAAAAAATCAAGGAATCTGAGTCGAACAAATCACAAAAAATTAAATTCTTATATTTATTATTTTATTTTAAAAGAAATATCTTTAATTTTTTTTTATTCTTTAACAGCACCCCTTAAAAAAATTCTTTAGCTCGTCAATGTGTATTTAATAAAATTTTAAGTACCACTTAAAATAAAATAAAATTTTAAATTACAAGAATATCATTTACAGTACATAAATATAGTAGGGTATGTAATAATGTGGGTTCCACATGTAGGATGACAAAGAAGAAAAAAAGGGACTCGGGTGCTTTTGTCTGTGTGTGTTTGTGACACGTGCGAGTATAGTGAAAAGTCTAATGATTAGATAGATCATTAAGTGTATAAAGAGTATTGGAGTAATTTGGAGCATGGAAAAATAGTTTGCATCGGAGCACCATTCAAGGAAAGAAAATGGTGTGAAGGATTGAAATTGGGGCATGGAAAAATCGTCCCCTATCATTATTTTTTACCTGTAGAAGGACACAAGTCTACAAAAATGAAGGCAGAGTAAATTTAACAAAAACAAAATATATATATATATATATATATATATATATATATATATATATATTTTATTTGTATAATTTTTGAGTGCTTTTTCTCTGTTATGATGTTATCTCAGTACGAGATTTATATATATATTCATCTTCCTTTTTGTTGAAATAGAAAATAATACTGCAGTAAAAGGACAACCAATAAGGATGAACATTATGACAAGGAAAATATATGTGATGCAAGTAGTAGAATATTATAGAAAAATATAAGATGGTTCAACGTGATACACGTGACCTAGAAGATGTCCCATTCCTTCTGGAGAGCTTGGTGGACAGAAGGAATGTGGCTACGGTAGGAGGAGGTGATAGTGGCCACGTGATGGTGGTGACTTGTGTATATGTATATGTGTATATATATATACATATAATAGAGATAAATAGTTAATTATATTTTGGTGGTGGTGGCGGCAGCAAGTGGAGAGATATAGAAGGGTTGGACGGAGGTGGCGGTGACGGAAGTGGATTGTGGTGGGATGGAGGAGATTGAGAGGTTAGAGAGAGAAAGTAGAGAGAGGGTTAATACTGTTTTATTCCAAAAATAAGGGTATTTTGGTCATTAATTTTGATATTTGAGATTAAAAATAAATAAAATATTAAGGGTAAAATAGGTATTCACTCCTTTTTAGACTGTTTATCTGACCGGTCAAAAATTAGGCCAAATTGGGCTAACTTTCATCGGTGTGAGTGTAAAAAAGATTAATAACAGAACTGTCACTACCATTAGGATATGCAAAACTGGGTACAAATCTAACATATGGTATTAGTTGCACAAAATGGAAGAAAATGAGAACTTTGCATCAATAGAGTCTACGCACACATGTACTTCCCCGTACTTGAAACAAGTGGTACGTGAAGCTAGAATGAAGGAAACATATAATAATAAATAAATAAATAAAATACAGCCATAAAACAGCGAGTATTTGAAAGCTTACAAATTCTTCCCTCTAGAAGTAGCAACATTTTGGAACCCAAACACCACCCACCATCGCCACAGCCCAAAAACAACAGCTAATGTATATTAAGTAACATAAGATGGAATATCTAGAGGTAGCATGCATTAACAATCTGTAAAACCCAAAACAATTACTTGCTCGTCTTCTACTAAAATCACTGCTGTGTGGCACCACGGCTTCATTGGCTTTCGATGCTCCTTCATCTTAAATAAAAAATAAAAAATAAAACATGGGAAAAAAATAAAAATTAAGCAAATTAGGAAAATCAATAAATTGAATCACATTTACAATGGAAATAAAGAGGAAGAGGAAAGGAAGATCTACACATAAACCGTACAGCACAAAAATGGCAAAATTGAGAACGACTCTATCCCCAAAACATCAACTGTTTCTTTTATTTTCATGCTGAACAAGTGGCAAGTCTAAATACCAATCCAAATATCAATCTCAAAAACAAAATATATACACCATCAAAAACAAAAGAATTTAAATAAATACTGACCTTTCTTCATGATGATATGCAGGGCCATAAGAATCTGCAGGTGGAGGAATGTGGGTTATAATTTATAAGCCTTGAAGTCAACATACACTGTTTGAACTACTTTACAATGAGATTTTCCCTTTTTTTTTTTTTTTTTTTTTTTTAATAAAAAAAAAAAGACTTTACATTGCGGATTTGGTTTCCCCTGAAATACACAGATGGAGTTTAATTTCATCGGTTTTCCTTTACTTTAGTTCGAGAAGCTATGCAAAAGGAGAGAAAAGATGTTGACATGATCTTATAAAAGATGACCTTCAAATTGAGCTTATGTGATTCAAGAGTTTGCAGTCTAAGAGAGAGCTTGGAAAGCAGCTGACTCACTTGACTATGAAAGCCTTGAAGTTGACTAGCTGGAACCATAACATTTTAAGTGTAACAGAAACTAGTTAATCATAAGAAAGTTACAGTATACACTGCCGTAAACTACTTTCCAAGTTAAACTGCATCTGTGTATTTCAGGATAGAATGAACGTATGCCAAAGCAGAAAGTGTGTCATCTCTAATAGGTCCAAAAAGTTACAGTATACGGGGTGGGAACAGTAAATACTTACACTCAAATGAACTCGTCAAGTATTCCCTCACGGGACAGAAACCGTTGCACCTGAGAGATGTCGGGAAATACCGCCTTTTCAAGTTAAAAAATGTAAAAACAAAGAAAAAAAAAATGTTAAAATTTGAATTTTTTTTTTAAATAATTGATAACGAACTTGATTTAACATTACATACCGCAAAGTAGCAGCTGGCTATAAGATGCGCAATTGCATTTCTCATATACCTAAAATGATCCCAAGGTTCAGTCTAATACGCCATCACTGCGGTATCTTTCCAGGATAAAACAACACCTTAGACAGTTCAGTATTAGGGGAACACACCTTCGCCAATCTTTTACCTACTTCCCGTTCACAGTCATTTTGAAACTTTGAAATTGTTTCACAAGACGTGAATAGCAATTCAGTGATGTTACGTTGTCAAGAAGCCTAGTTATGAAATAAGTCCCATCTACAGGACGTAATAATGTCGAATGTTTGGCTGAAAAACAAAACAAAATTTGGAAAATTAACAGATAGTATTAGGAAAAAATAAGATAAGTGTACAAAAACAAAGAAATTCCCGACCTTAAGCGACCCCACTCCAGTATGTCGGGGAATTCATCCTTCTTTGGAGGGAACAGTTTCAATTCGATCCATTCAGAAAATTTGAGATAATTTTCGGAAACCGTCCTCCACTCCTTTCTCACTCCTTTCTCAAGGTCTGCCAACAATCTTGAGCTATGTTTGACAACATAAATGTTTTTCCACTTTCCACTAGTGTGGAATCCCAGATCGTGTAGATGTGTCAAAGCAAACATGCCTCTGATTCAATAAGACAAGAGCAGTTAAAAAGTAAATGCATAACTCAAAAAAAAAAAAATTAATTTTTTAAATATTACTACACTTACCCAATTATCTTAATGCCTTTGCTGGTAAGTAGGTGCCTTGGATTGAGCGGGGCCGTTAGGTAAAATGGCCAAAAACATAGCTTCATACTTCTTGACCCACTCGTCAATGGTGGTCTCGTAGCAACATCATAGTCGCTCTGAAGTTTTCCATTACCTTGTATAACGTAATAGTGTATTGATCCACACTAAAACAAACAAAATAAATAAATAAATGTGATACTTAACTTCGATCTACTTGACCTAACAAAAAAAAATTAATTAATTAATTAATTAACAAGAACTATCAAAAAAATTTAATGACATACAATAGATCACACACTAACAGCAACAAAAAAAATCAAATTGAAACTAACTTTTACACTAATTGAAATACAAAGTACCACTGTCAAGACACAAAACTATGAGAAATGGTCGCCGTGACCACTGTGACAAGGTGTCACCGTCACTGCTGTCCTCATCAACCACCAGCACTTTACCATCGATCTCTTGGGCTCACTAACAAGTTACAGTTCATGTCCACCAGCACCAGCACCGCTGTCCACACTGCAACCACCCAAACCACTTGAACCACCAGTGTTCACTAACAAAGTTACAGTTCATATGTCCACCAGACCAGGTCATCAATTGTCTACCACCAAAGTCGCACAAACCACCAGCAACTCCCAGTCACGTAACATCTAAGAAGCACGGACACTCCAAAATGGGCGAAGAATCCGTGTCCGACACGTGTCGGACACGGACACGCGTCGGACACGCCCCGACACGTGTCGGACACGCCAAAAAACGTGTCTGGAATTTTTTTATTTTTTTTTAATTTTCGGACACGGCTCGGACACGGCTCAGACACACTTTTCTGGATTTTTTTTTTTTTTTAAATTTTTAATGCTGATATGTTAATTTTTATTTTTTATTTTTTTTTAAAAAAAATTTTTAGTGCTGATATGTTCTATTTTTTGTTTTGTACTACCCTAAAGATGCTGATATATATATATACTAACCTAAAGATGCCACAATTCGCCGTGTCCTAAAGATGCTGATATATATATATACTAACATATCAGTGATATATATATATATATTCCAACCTGAACTTATCAGTGTTTTTTTTTTTAAATTATTAATGCTGATATATATATATATATATATATACTATTCGCCGTGTCCGTGTCCTAATTTTTTTGGATTTGTCGTGTCGCCGTATCCGTGTCGTGTCGTATCCGTGTCCGTACTTCTTAGCGTAACATTAATCACCAATGTGACCTCATCCACATAATCCTTCATAACCAATGCCAATCCCTTAAACTTGACCACCACAATTGCCCAGCCACATTGCATTTCAGCATATTAGTGCCACTTGCAGTTTGGCTAGAAAAATGCTGCTTCGATTAGCCTTTTTACCAATTACAATACCGAAACAAAGAAACATGGACACTAAATGCACAAAAAACCAAAAGGTCATAAATTCAACAATCATCAAATTATCCTTTTAAATTTTAACAAGTTCCATATCGAGATTTGAAAAATACCCTGTGATTAGGATAGTAAAGAATATATAAGCCCTAAGCAATTTTAGATATCAAATCCTCTGTACCAACAACCAATTTTGTAAATAATTTGTCACTTCCAGATGAGTATAACCTTCACACCATTCACAATTCAAATACTGGACATAAGAAGAAACATACGCTTGTATCAAAGAATTTGACATCTCAGCTATATCTAACATTGTAAACATCAAATTAAAATAATCATGATGAAATTTGACAGTCACGTCATGGTGGTGATTGTGTATATGTATATGGATATGTGTATGATATATGTAGTATCATATTAGATTAGTAAAGTATGTTATAAATATATAATATTAATTATTGTCTCTTTCTGTAACTTTGAGTGCATCAAAGCTTTCCATTTCACTGTTGTACACTTCCTAGATCCGATGCATGAAACAAGCCAAAAGCTCACCACCCTATCGTTGGTTCACAATTGTCGTACACTTTTGTGTCCCCAACCATATATCTTTCTTTCTACAAGTCCATATCTATAGAAAACTCCCATGCCAATATTAGTCAAGACGCTCAGAGAGCTTATTTTGTCCTAAGTTGGGTTATTCTTATTGGAGGACTCTCTCTTCTTTGTTGTTTCAGTTTCAACATTTCAGAAGCTTTGTCAATGCTCAAACTGATAAAGTTAAATTAAAATTGCATATAGTCTTTTTTTTTTCTTTTTCACAAATAAAATTAGGGTTTAGAGAGATGAAAAAGAAGAGAGCCCAAGTAGATGAATCATATTACATACCATTGTTTCAGAATTTGCAGAACTGAAAAATCGTGTGTACAGTGACCAAAGATTCCTGTAACTAAAAGAATTAGACACTATGCTCAAGAGTATGTCTTCAACTCTAAATTTTCTTCAATTCTAAGTGCTTTGACTTAATTTGAGTGCATCAACATATTATCAACATCACCAGTCGTCATTGCTATAGTCAACGTTGACATCAACATCCTCATAACGTTGACATTAACATCCTCATCAAGAATCGTCATCTAAAATCACGTAATTCTCTTGCAAATATATACATTTGATTAAGATAAATTGCAAAGAGACTTCCTATCATAATTGGTCATTTTAAAACCAACATCACTGCTTCATTTTAAAACCAACATCACTGCTACAACGGTAAGGGGATTTAAATAATTCAATTAGCAAGGCAAAAAAATCATACCTATTTTCTTTTTGCCAACTCCACCCATTCCCATCAACTCTCTTCTTTCAGAAAAAAGACCTATATTATTAGGACAAAAGAGGAAAAGTTTTAAAAGCGTTAATAAACTTGTAAAACATATAATCTGAAATTGAAAACTAAACTTCCAAGTATTTAATTCCCATAAATAAATTGTTCGAGCATCACATCGTAACAATATTATATATATGTACGTAGAAACAAAAACAAAAAATAAGCATGTAAAACATGAATAAATAAACGTAACCAATAACTAAAAATGACAATTAAAAGTTTAGAAAAAGTAAGAGTTCGTTACGTGATGACTCAGGAGGCATGTTTCTTGAACCTTATTTTTGCTAAATATTAAGGCCCAATGCTAACCCTAAAAATAAGAAAACACTCTAGTTGTGAGGAAGAAGTTTCACAATCTCACTTATAACAATTAAAACACCACCATCTAAGTACTATCTGTATCATGTATCAACCCAACCCAAGTTACCCAACTATGCTTTCAGTAAACATGTTGGACACCTATCCGTAGAAATAGGTGTGATTACGGATAGGTGTGATAAGCACATATTATACTCGGTTCTTATGTTAAATTAATCCAATAACAAAGTACAATGCATCAATTTAGGAATAATCTTCAAAATTAACAAGTCAATATCTTGATATTCTGCATTCTAATAACAAAAGAAAATCAAAAACCAAAATTTGAAAAAAAAAATATGACAAAAAGATTGAATATATCCTTCGTGCATTACGCAGATTGTATTTCTATGTGAAACAAAACATTTATGATTTCTCCATGGGGTGGGCTAAATCAAAATATATCAACCAAAATCAACTGTTGCTTAATTCAATTTTAGTTAACTAACAATATTTCTTTAGACAATTGACGGATTAAGGCATAGAAAAACCTATTTGGGTAATTAATAAAAAAATTTACCAATTTATTTCTGAACAATTCACCACTCAGTACCCTATCTCTTCTTTTGACCAATTTGCTAATCCTATTTGAGAATCTACTAGTGGAAGCAGAGTGTGAGGTAGTTCATGGCAAGCCCCTTCCAACACTATGGAATTCACTCAAAAGTATGCTTTTTGTAAGTATTTTAATTTTCAAGAAGTAACTTTAGAGCTTTACCCTATACTTCTGCTTGTCTAAGTTCTTGTTATGATTTTTTTTTTTTTTTTAGTTCTGAAAAGATTTCCATCCTCAAAAAGCTTGGCATGTTGATAAAAATTGTTTCAGATTTAATCTCTCCAATTCAGATTCTTTTTTTTTTTTTTTTTCTTTTTTCATGCCCAGATTCAATGTTTCTTGTAGATATAATTTTGAAAAAAAAAAAAAAAAATCCAGAAATAGAAGTTATAGAAATAAATAAAAAAAATATTTGTTTTGCTGAAATAAAATGTAGATTACGGTGATTACCTCAAAATGCAATGAAATTTTTTTTACTGTATATGGTAAAAAAAATTAATAATAATAATAATAAAAATTATTTTTAAAAAGATCATAAAAAATTTCACCAAATAGGATTTAGTTTGCAAAACAAGAATTACAGACCTTGATTAGTTGATTTAGAAAAGAAAAAAAAAATTAAAATTAAAATTAAAACAAAACCCATACATACAAGTTACCAGTTGCAGAGAGAGAGAGAGGGGGCAAGCTCGAGAGTTGAGACACAGCAGGCCAGCGGCTGAAGCTTGCGAACGGTGAACCCGAACTGGAACAGCGGGCGATGGAAACTAAAAGATGTGGGTTTTGATTTTTTGAACAATCTGAAATGATAGGGGTTTTGAACTTTTGATTCTTGCAGACAGATAGATAATCTGAAATATATGGGTTTTGACCTTCTTATTCTTGTAGATTTTGTAGTTTGCAGTTGGAGAGAGAGACAGAGAGGGGAAGTTCAGAGTAGAGAACGAGAATAGAGATGGAGGCGATTGGGGAGGCTGAAATGACTTACCCTAAAAATATTTTGTTTTTTTGGTGACCCATCATCCATGGGCCAATAAATTTTGAGGCTGGGTCAAGATCGGCCCGGACTTATTCGGCTTAGACTTTTATTTTAGTTTGGTGACTGAGTTGACTTGGATTTGATTAGATGGATTAATTCTATTATTATAATTTATTTATTTATTTTTTTGGCTGAAAATAGTATGGAAACTTTTCTTTTTTTTTTTTTTTTTTTTTTTTTTTTGATTGGTCTCTAACCCACCAAACCCACCCCTACATTAACCTTGTATATTCATCCACTGTCATATACAATGGTAATCATAGTGGTAAATAGTTAAAATATTGAACATTTTTTTTTTCCTTCAAGGCTTCTTCAATCAGAAACCTTTCCAAAACCTGAAGTCCACCCAGCTGATCAAGAATTGATTAGTACCGTGGCCCTTTTTATCAAGTTAACTGCAAAATAGGATTTGAGTAAAAAATAAAGTCATAACATATTATACATATACACACACTTATATATAGAGAGTGAGAGAGAGGGAGCTTAAAAGCTTGCAACACATTTCGGAAAATTATTTTAAGGCCGAAATCTTGAAAGTGATTTTACTGACTAAAATTTTGATTGGTCGCAAAATATAAAAAAATGGGACCTACAGTCCCTACCCCCTTCTTTATATATTGCAAACATGATTAATCAAAATTATTTTTTACATCAGGCAATTCACTTTTATTCTTTGGCTAAGTAAGAAGGCTCAAACATTTTATAGATAGAATACATCATTATAACATTTTCCTTCTTACAAGAAATATATGATTTTAAAAATCATATCTAAAATGACTCATTTTTCTGAAAAGGTCTATTTTAGATGATGAATTTCTACCTTTAATTCAATGTAAAAGTGAATGAGATCATTCAATTCATAGGGATATCCAAACAACCCTTTAGAATAGCATACAGACATACCTGCCAGCCCTTGATACCTTGCCATTTGCATCAGAGCAATCTCTAAAAATATATATATATATAAACACATACCTGCCAAAGAGAATCACAAAACTGTTTATACAAACCACTTTCTTCTGGTTTCCACAAGGCTGAAATTTGGACAAAAATCTAGAAAATGAGCAAAGAGCGCCACCACATACCATCTGTAGAAAATAACACATTTCTTACATTTTACTTCAAAAAGAGTTAGCTACAAGAGTTACGAGTTTATACAATGAATGTTACAGCTTAATTTATGTCAGTCTGTAAAATGTTATTAGAGAAATTAGTATGACTGACCAGTTTATAGCAATATTAATGATGATATAGATGGACTAGCAGCTTTCATTTTAGTATAATATGAAGGAACAAGAACGTAGGATATAAAATGTTAATTTTGTATGTGAAATTTGAATTAAACCATAGTTTTAAACAAAAATAAATAATTGAATAAAGTACCTTCAGAGGAAGAGTTGACATTGAGGTACCATGACCTCCAATTTGACAATAGACTGATTGGCCACAAAGAATGCAGTTGAGTCCACCACCTATTAAGTTGATCTGCTACCTCTTCCACACCAAAATTTTCAGCAATATTGTCAATTTGAGCAGAATCATCGTCAACTTTTAGCTGGTACCGACACACAGGACATGTATTGTGGATGTTCAACCAAGGAAGGATGCAATTAGGGTGATAAAAATGTTTGCAAGGCAGCTCTCTCACTTCCACACCAACCTCAAACTCATCCTTGTAGACAGGACAGTAGGAGTCACTGCTCAAATGTCGCAGTGTGAGTATCACGGTAGGCAAGGCCTTAATGGCTGAAACTGGTGCAGGAGGTGGCCCCAACCTATCATTCTGTGTCAGCTCCTGAATCAACTCTTCAATCCCATTACTGGGAGAGACTTCCATTGGAGTCCATGGCCTCAGGAACCACACTTTTGTCAACACATCAGAGGCATTCTTGTCTGTATGAATTTTCTTCAACTGTAGCAATTGTTTCTCAATCACCTCGCGCATCCAATGATACCTAACGTCGATGTGCTTTGTGCGGGAAAGATACGTCGCATTCTTGCTCAAGTCAGTAGCACTGATTGTCACAGGATTCTACGTATTCTTTTTGCTTTAACCCTAATTCTTGAAGGAACTGTTTTATCCACAGTAATTCTTTACTGGCTTCAGTAACGGCAATATACTCGGCTCAGTTGTAGACAGGGCAACATACTTCTGCAATTTAGACTGCCACGACACAGCTCCCTTGGCAAAAGTGAATAAATACCCCGACGTTGGTTTTCTGCCATCAAGGTCACCTGCCATGTCTCTTATATTTTGTGATATGATAAAAAATATTAAATTAACTATTAAGTTGCGAATTAATCTTTTATGATGTTTAATTTGTGTAATTAAATGTACTGGTTAGATTTATGATTTTAATTATAGTTGTGGTTTACAAGCATGATTCATGGTTATAACTATATGTTGTACCATTGTTATATATGGTTTGATGGATTTAATGTATGTTTGAGATGGAATCATTGAGATAGTTAATAAGCTAATCTCCTTGATACTTTATGTCATTGTTAGATATGACTTTGATGATTAGATGAGTAGGTAAGCTGGCTAATAAGTCTAGACACGCTACATTATGTCATTTTCAGATTCGGTTTTGTTGAAGATGTTATATATGTATATGCCTTAATACGTTGGGGTCTCGGGATCAGTGGATAGGACTGAGGCATATATTGCCGGGGATGAGTAACTGGATATAGGAGATGTGTTGCCCTGGTAGAAAGGGGTTTCTTGACCATCCTATGTGCGATTTATCAAGTGATACTCTCTATTAGGTTGAGACTGCACTATATTCAATGACGTCTATAGTATGCATATGGACGTATTGACTATGTAGGTATATTATGAGTTTTAGCCGGGGATGTTCTATTTATTAGTTCTGTGATTGGGTCGTAGTAGATAGGACTTGTTTGTGCATTTAACCCACAATTCATTTTTCATGTCCACATCATTTCCGGAGAGGTTGTTCGTGCTGACTAGAGAGCATCCATCTTCACTCTTATGGATTATCAATATAGGATATTATCTCAGATTTTATTTATTGTTTAGACTTAGTTATTTAGACTTTATTGTTATTTCAGTTTTGGATTTTTAGTTAGGGTCCATGTAACATGGATTTCCGAGTTGTACTTTGGACGATTTTTCATTTATAGATTTATTTGGAGATTATTGGCATCAGAGGATTTATTAATTAATTATTATTTAGTTTTTTCATTCAGCGAATATTTATTTATTCTTATTTCATTTATTATTAATTATTTGATATCTCTCGATTTTTGGGAGCGAAAAAAATAAGGCTCTGATACCTACTGATATAGTGAAATATGATAGAATGTTCATAAAGAACACGTTACTTTGAATCCACAAAGTATGATATCTTGAATTTACAAAACAAAAGATAAATTCAGATAAATGTGATATTGTATTAAGTAATTGAATTAATTGCAATACACATATTTATAATTAAAGAAATTCTAGTATTAAAAGGATTAACCATAAAGAAACCTAATAACAAAAGAAAAATAATTCATAAAAGAAAATAATTAAAATTAAACTTTCTATAAAAGATTATAAAAAATAAATAAATAAATAAAATCTAAACTTTAAAAATACAAAACACAAAGTGTCGTACATCACATCGGATCCGTACCCTTTATCCAAATCTGTCAAGGTCTGGAGCAATCATGCATCCAGATAATATAATATACTCGCACAAACACATGATGCACATATACACCAAGAGACTGTGAAGCTTCTCTAAATAATTTAGTTGGTCTGTGAAACTTCTCTAAGCTCTTCAATTTGACCGCAACCAGCTGTACTAACGAATTTTAAGAAGTTACATATTTTTAAAACAAATTTAACACCTTCTCTTTCTAATACTTTGAAACAAAACAGAATGCAAAAGCAAAAAGTTCTTTTGAGACACGGGAAGAACATGTTCAACATTTTTCCTTCACTAATTTCAAAAAGGTAGAGTGAGGTTGGCTCTATTGAATTAGGATAAATAGGTTTCGAAGGGTACGTAAAACTTGCTATAATCAACAATCGCGGCAATGGAGCCTGAAGCAGCAGCAATTGTGATAAGGAGGCAAGCAACACTTAGGATTTGAAGGGAGATCCATTTAATGCTCCATTTGGGTATCTTCTTTTGCTCTATATACATCGTTACTGGGAAGTATATAGTGAGAGGCCAAAACGCAATGGCATCCATAATTGAAAAGGCATCATCAAACGGCACGAGCATTGCTACGAGAGTGGTTATAATCACAAACATAGTTCTCCAGACCAAACGAAAAAGTTTGAATTTGTAACCTTTCAAGGGAAGAAAAATTTTGAATTTGTAGAGCTTGAAGCCCTGAATTGGGATTTCGATTTCTTTGATGATGGAATCAATTTGAGGAAATCTTTCTGATACACTTTTCTCAATGAAAGCAAAAATGGGTTGGGAGTTGATTTGGAATGCACCAAATTGTTGGATTACTATGGCAGCGTAGGCTATTTCGAGAAGCCAATATGGCCTATCGAAGCCGTCAAGGAGGAATTCCTGGGTCTGGTCCCCGAGAGCAGCATAGCCCATGCAGCCACTGAACATGTAGGCAGTAGTCATGATTGCAACACTTCGCAGATTGGCTTTCTTCATTGCAACTGACTTAGCTTCTGTTGGGGAGGACTTGATTGTGTCCTGAATTTCAATAAGGATTTCAGAGTAAGAATAGGCGAAAGCTATGGTGCCGAGTGCTTGGAAGATGCTCCATATCTTTTGGGCTGGAGTCACACTACTGCCAATGCTTATTCCAGTGATGCTTCCCATGAATTTTCCGGTTCCTGATCATCGACCATGGAAAAAAAAAAAAAAAAATCGTCATGTGAAATTGGATGTTTTTGCAACAACTATGATCAACTAATTGAATTTGGAACTGTTTTATCTTAAACAAACAGAATTGTAAGTAGGATTATATCTCCAATGCACCTGCAACTTTGCCAATTCCGATTGATATACTAATTGTAGAATAAGTAAACACCATGACTACTGCAACAATTGATAGCCACAACATCCCATCAAAGTCTGGAATTTGAGAGGAAATGATTCCTATGAGGCCAAACGCAATCATATATGGTTTGCTTGAGAAGACGCAAGGATTTGTCCCGCCACTCTGACGGTAGCAATTATACCATTTGATTCCCCTGTTTGATTAAAAACCATAAGACCATCCGATCATTAGGACAAAGATTTTTTTTATAAAAAAAAAAAAAAAAACCAACTTAAGATAGGGTTTCAGAGATGTATATAATTTGGTAAGCCTTACTCATGCAAATAATAAGTGCCCAAATTATGTATACAGACATAAAAACTAGAATATGTACCGTGTGTAGAAATTAATAGGCGGGAAAAAACGGCAAGAAATAAGGCTGAAAATTATTTTTCATAAAAATATGGGTTATATTTACTTTTATACACACTGTATAAGTAGACAAAAAATTTAAAATTAAAAATTGGTAAAACAAGGAGAAGATTTGGGTACCATCAACTAATATCAAAGGAAAAAACTAATAGGCCAGAAAAATCGGCAAAAAAATAGGTCTTCCGTAAAAATATGGGTTATATTTGCTTTTAGTCTTTTACAAATATATAAATTTGGATTTCCAAAAATAACACTTAAAAGAATTCAAATTGAGATTCGGCACCTATTAAATAATAATTTCAAATTTTTCGGGGGCTTAATATGTATTTGGTAAGTGTGTGTGTGTGTGTGTATACACAATAGGGATTTAGGGTTCAATGATTGTGGTGTAGAGAAGGATGGTGATGGAGAATAAAAGTAGTAGTAGTGAGTAGTTGGTTAAGCTGAGGGTTTTGTCGAAGCTATGTGTGGCTGTTGCATTGGGGCTGCTATTTGAGTTGCCATACTTCATCTATTTAAGCAAAATAAGTGAGAATGAGGAGGAGGAGGAGGGAGATGGGGGACTTATAGTTGTACGGCGGCAAGATTATGGCAGCGGCAACAACAGTAGCAGTGACGGCGAGATGGCGACGACAGTAGCAGCGACGGTGACGGAAATATAATATAATAATGTATATAAATGTAATTCGGGTTTCAGGTTGGGTCGGGCTAAACCCGTCTAACTTGCACCGTTATAATCAATAATAAAAACGGAAGGAAAGTGCAACAACCCTCACCCTAGCCAAGCCAAACACAATATTATCCGCTGACTTCCCAAAGGGTCACCCATCCTGGTAATACTCCAGTAAAAGGGTGTTGAATCTACATATAACACTTGCTCCCTCCACATCCAGGCGATATGCGATTGTGCGCCTGTAGCTTGCCCAGTGTGGTAGTCTACTGGTACCACCTATACACGCTCACACACATCTGCCCACAAGGTCGCCACAGAAAGATAGATAGTGATATAACTAATAGAATTGGATCGGAGTTAACAAAATGAAGATAAGCTAGTAGCATCTTATGTGATAAAAGAATAACACAAATGTTGAATTAAACAAAAATTATATGTAGAGAGGATTGTTTTAAATTAGCGTTATGCTTTATGGAGTGGAGTATTGCCGTATTGGTTTTAGAAAGAAATAAGAACAATATTTTTTATAAAACGAAAATAAGAATGTTAAAATGGATGGTTGGTGATTAGAAGAAATAGGGACGGCACAAATGAACGTGTATGAGAAAAATGAGGTATGGCACCATTAACAATAAAATAAGAGAGTAGACTTGGTTACACTGAAACTTGATAAATGCACCGGTGTGGTGGAAATTTTAAATTTTAATTTCCAAGTAATAGAAGGAGAGAAAAAAAAACCAAAAATAGCGTGGGAATGACATTATTATAAATGACTCTAAAAAGTTATATCAACATACTTAATAAAAAGGAATGGAAACTGAAAATTCATATAGAATAAGACAAGGACCACGATGATGATGTTGGGTTTTGTGGCTCAAATTCAGTGTGCAAGCAGTGTTATGGGAGATATGAACAAGTTTAAGTTGTTTGGAACCGATTCAATTTTTTCTTAAACCATTTGGACATGATAGCAACTCCAATTGAACCAGTTCAAAAAAAGTTGAATCAGTTGAACATGGAAATCAGAAGACTGTTATTTTAAAGTTGAAGACTGATATGGTAACTCCTTATATGCAAGTTGGGGAATACTTGTCCAACAAGAAATTAGGTTTGAAAACTTTATAAATAGAGATGGGTGTAAGAGGTTTAAAGAGATAGAAAAGAGAGAAAAGATGTAACAGATTTAAGGATGAGCGTTGAGAGGGGAGAGTATATGTAATTTTTGAGTGTAGAGTGTATAGATATAGCCTCAAAAGAGATGATGAGTGAGTAAGTGAGTAGGGTTCTCTGTGAGATATGAATTTGTAATTGGCATATTTCGTTATCAAAACGAGTTCAATCGAGTTGTAAATTTTTAGTTTGATTTACCAAGAATCAAGATCGGAAGCAGAATTGAAGGAGTGCAAGTGTTTATGCTTCGATACACTCCGAAATGATGAGAACAACGCTTTAAAAAGGTAAGAGAGTGTGTGAGGACACTTAAGAGGTTCAATATTGAGTTTTTGGGAAGTTTACATTCTGTCCAACTTGAACTGGTTGAAGTTTCTTGGAACAAGTTCAAGTGTCAAAGTTGGTATGCAAGAATGTAATGTTCTTGATTTTTTTTCCTTTTTCTATTTTTTAGAAATTTTTTATTTTTCTGGATTACTTTCATTTGGTCTCGTTTTACATGCCAAACAACGTGGGGTGTACCGGGTGAGTTGCATGAATTGGTTACGACATTTCCTTAAGTTCATGACTTTTGGAAATGCATTAGTTGTCATTTCGGTATTTTTTCGTTTTTCAGGCCTGACAGTCCTGGGAGAGACCCATTACTGGAGTGGCACGAAGACTGTGTTTTGGGTTCGTCGCATTTCGTATATCATTATTTTGTACTCAATTACTTGGTTATATATATTTAAAGTTGTGGTTGTGATATGTTTGATATATATATTTGTATATATATAATGTTAGTGGATTTTTTTTCATTTCTGTGGGACCCACCACCATTTAGTCATTTTAATGGCCATGAGGCCATTTGCCTAAATCACTCATTTCTCTCCCACTCTCCCAGTGTCATACTCTCTCTCCCTCTCAGCTTCATTTTTCCTTTTTCTTTTGCCACAAATTTTTCCTCCACTTTTCGGCCAATCGATCAGGTTTCCGGTCTTGATTCTTAACGGAAAATGTTCCTCTCATCATTCTCTATCACAGAGTCAAAGGATTTAATTTTTGGAGGAGCGGTGATTATTTTACGAATATTTAAAGTTTTTAGATCTAAGATTTCGGAGGGGGTTTTGGGCCACTTCAAGTCTGATTCCGGAAACACACCTTTGGAACAGTAAATTCTCTTTGTCATCGGCTACGTTTCCACCGAACAATTTTTCGATCTGTCGGCGTTGACCGGCATTGACCGCGTTAACCGGCGTTGACCGGCATTGACCGCGTTAACCGGCGTTGACTTTCCCGACTGGGGATGCATTTTGGCTACTTTTGAGGTAGGGGTGATCTAATACCCATTTCTTTGAACTTAGTGAATTAATCTTCTTTAATTGTTGTATTAATATGTTTATTTTGTGTTAAATCCTTGAGATGTGATTCACATGTTATATATATGATGTCTATGGTGTAAATATGAGCATGCTTATGTGTTAAATGCTATGTTGTGATGATGATGTATATTTAAAATGATGACTTTGTGTACTTTTTATGTTGGATGTGTTGGATTTGCTATATGAAAGCATGATGTGTTTTATCATAGAGTTTTTATGAAAGCATGTTGTATTCTTGTAGTTAATTACGAATTATAGAAAATATATACATTATCATGGTTTAGTATGGCATGAAGCATTCATGCACTCATTGGGAAAGAAAAGGAAAAAGTTGTTTTAAAAGCAAATGAAAATTGTTTTGGAAAAATATTTTTAAAATGTTTACGAAAACCCAGACGCCTAGGAGTCGCCTAGTGGTCTGTGGCGTTAGTGTGGTCTAGAGGGGATTAAGGAGAGACCTTAGCGTGGTTGAGCTACCTAAGCCCTTTAACGATGCCTTAGAGTTTCCATGTAGTCGGGGATAATTAGCCAATCCTCCTCTCATGACGCCATGGAGTCGCCATGGGTCGAATTGCACTAACGGTTTGGAAAAGTGAAATGGTATTGTTTCGAAAAACAGGAAGTGACATTGCATGACATCGTACTTCATCGGCATACGTTGTATACTTGGTGGTCGGATGACTTATATATATTCTTGTTGTTGTATTGTTGCTTTGCTTGTTTTCCCGAGGCATGATTCCGTTTACATTTACCCTATGCTTTGTGTGGATTCACAGGATCATTAGGAGGTGTGTCTTAGACACCTCCTAGAGCGGCTAGCTCACCTTATCATATTATTACATTTTTAGGTCACGAGAAAGAAGTGACGGGCGACGCTTCTCCATAAGTTTGAATGGGTTAGTGGATTGTTTTAACATCTTTTGTATTTGTGATCTCATTTTTTTTGTATAAACCTTGGGATGGCACGTATACCGTGTATCAACGTTGAAGTTGACCATAGTGCCCTTAGACTACCTCGGGTTCGGGTAAGGACCTGGTTAACTATTCAAACCCTCAGGTTCTAGGTCATTACAAAGAATTTGCTACTGGCCAACTTGAACCGGTTAAAGGTGGCTGAACCGATTCAAGGTCTTCAGCAGATTTTGGTAACTTTGTTTCCTTGTCTCTTTTGACTTCCTATTTTGCATAAACTTTTACCATAATGATCATGCATGAAATTGACTTATTTTCCAAATGCAATTAGGTTTTCAAAAATCTATAAATACATGTTTTCTCACTTAAACTTTTAGAGCTTGAAAATATATATTTTTCTAATTTAGAGAATTGCTTAAGAAAGATTTTTTTTTCGAAAATCAATTTGATTTTTCTGATTTTATTTTTGAGAGCACACACATAAACACAAGAGTGATTTAGGAGTGTTGTTTTCTATCTCATCGTAATTGGAGCATAGTTGAAGATATAGAGATTCCAAAAAGCAAAATTTATTTATTCTTTATCAAATTCAAATCTGAAGAAAAGGGGTGAAGCAATCATACTTTGAAGGGGTCAAAGCATTCGTAGAATGTTGTTTGATCTACCTGCAACTCTTCTACATAGATCAAGTGTAAGTCTGAGGTCGAGAGCTGTTAGACGAGAGAGTCGCAAAGCCAGGGATTGTCAGCGATTGGTTTTTGGTAGAATGATAGGGTGTGAGTCTGAGTCAAAGTTTAGTGTACTTTGCTTCAAATATAGTGGATTGTCTTGCTCTGGATGACATAGTGCACGAGGTTTTTCCTATAACGATTGGTTGATTTCCACCAATCGGGGATTCCTCGCTAAAAATCCTGGTGTCATCTCTTAAACTTTATTTGCACTTTATTTTTGCTTTGTGGGTTTGATTTTAGTTTTATTTCGGTAAAATTAAAATAACTAAAAATTCGATAAAGGGGCAAATAAAACCTATTCACCACCCATCTAGATTATTTTTAATAGAAACTTCCACATCCTATTCCGCTACATAATTCACATTTTCGTCCTAAATATATAATAGTAAAATCTCTCTCCATGGACGTAACCTCAGACTTGGGTGAATCTTGTAAAATACTATGTTGTAAATGAATGTGTATGATTATTATATTTATGTTAATGTGATATGAATGTGACGATGTTTCCTCTCTGTTTGATAAACAAGGAATTTAACTCTTAATTTTTCCTATCAGAAGATTCCTAATCACTGATCTAATATAAAGGCCTTGTTTGGATAAATTCAAAAATCGTATAATCGTACTCACATCATGCTCCTAGAAGCTGAAATGGTGCTTGTAATGGCTCCTTGAAAAAGTTTCAGGTATTGAATAACTCCACAGATCTTGACCTGAACACCACCTGTAAGTTCATAAAACACAGAAGACGTTTCGTTTGTTGATATACATCTTCAATTATATATATAATAATAATAATAATTAATAAAAAATAAAAAAATCACTTGCCAATCTATCTCAAAAATGAGAGAGAGATTTACCAAGGTTTGATGATCTAACAGTGTCCGTGTAAGTATAGTTTCTATTGCCGGTGACTGGGTCACCGGAATTGTAACATGCGGCCAGAAGAGTAGAGGTGTAGTAAATTAAAAAGGAGAAGAGAAAAATGGCAAGTGGGCCAGAAATCCATCCAAGCTGAGCGATCGCCCAAGCAACTGAGAGAAGTCCAGGCCCCATGGCAGCTGTCATTATGTGAGCAGTTGCTCTCCAAACATTCCCTATATAGCCAAACACACAACTAGTATAAGTAAGAGAATTAAGCAGTAATAAAATACGGGGTAAGACGTTAATTAGCTAGGTGAAAGTGCTTGTGAAAATATATATACCAGTTGTTTTGGGATGTCTATGGTCGTCCAAGCAACATTTGGAGTCCTCGGGTGGAGGAAAGTTAACGTTGATGGAGAGATCAAAGCTGTGGACGATGCGGGTATGATTAAGCTGGCCCTCTTCGGCACTGCTGCTCTGATGATCACCCATACAGAATCTCAAATCAATATACAAATTTTTGGGTGTTATGATCTGGGTCTGGGTGTGTTTTATACATGGCGATGGTGCATTGAATTTTTTTTTTGTTTTTTTTTCTTTTGGAAAGTTCAAAGAATGGCAAATCACAACCGGACACATATACGCTCCATTCTGTGTAGTCCATTTCACGCGGTAAGGTAAGAAGTGGGAAAAGGAGAAGAACATATACAATTCCATTTGATATCGCCGTCCATGGACAATAATTTCACGCGGTAACGTAAGAAGTGTTGAAAAGAGAAGAAAGTATACAATACCATTTGAAGTCGCGGTCCATGGACAATAATTTCACGTGCCAAGGTGGAGAAGTGTGAAAAGGAGAAGAAAGTGTACAGAGAGAAGAAAAAAAGGATAAATTACACTCACACCCCTGTGATTTGGTCATATTACACCTAGATTAACATTTTGGTTTTAGATTACGCTTATATTTAAATGAGTTATTTAGCATGTCACTTACATCCCAAACATTAATTTTTGATTGAATCAGACTACTTTTGAGGTGTTAAATGACTATACTACCCTTTAACCTCACATTGACTTTTTTTTTTACCAAAGTACCCCTCACAATCACCACCGCCTCTCTGTCATGAACCTTCATTTTGACCTCAGATATGTGTGTAGGACAATGCCTATACTGCCTGATGACATTTTCCTACTTTTGTTGGTTGAAATTGTTGTACTCAAAAGGAATATTCATTAGTTAGTATCAATTATTTTGGCTGAGTTCTCTCCACAACCCGTCTTCATCCTTGTCGTTCTATCCCGCCGTGCACCGCCGCCCGTCCACGGCTGCTCCACCGTTCCGAAGCTCACTGCCGCAGTTCATCCCAACCCGCCGTTCATCCATCGGCCACGTTTCCACCGGATTCCGTGCTATTAAGCCGTCGTCCACTGCCGTTTCAGCCATCTTTTCCGCTTCTTTCGCTGCCAAAGAAGTTGGGATTTTCGCCGACGTTGTGAATCTGTGGTCGCCGATTCACTTCCCCGACCTCGACGGAAAACTCTCCACCGATCCTGACGGCCATGTTCAAATCCTCTGCAACGACACCGGTGTCGAATTCATTCAGGCCCGAGCCAAACACCTCTTCATCAACGACATTCTAGCCCCTCTAGACGTACCTAATTGCTTCAAACAGTTCTTAACCTTCGACAACACTCTCAGTTACGCTGACCACTATAAGCCGTTGACAGCCGTCCAGGTCACTAAGCTCGGCGACAGTGTCTTCATCGACTGCACCATCAACCACTTCCTTCTGGAATATCTTTAACACCTTCGCGAATGGTGGAAGGTGCAGACAGAAAGGAAAGTTGCAGGTCGAAAAGGATGGGTTTTGGGGGTGGGTTATGCCGCAGATCGATTCGTGATAAGGATGGGTTAATGGTGGTGGTTATAAGGATGGAGGTGGGGATGGTGGCAGTGGTTTGGATATGTGGTGGTGGATGTCGGGATGGAGATGGTGGCAGTGGTTTGGATATGTGGTGGTGGATGTCGGGATGGAGATGGTGGCAGTGGTTTGGGATAAGTGGTGGACCAGTGGTGGATGTAGGCTGCCCCAAAGCAACTGTCATAGCTTCTCGGAAGCGGTTTAGGATAGATTGTTGAAAGATTCTGAAGATCTTAACTCTATTCAATGTTGGGACATAAATACTCCAACAAGGTTCCAAAACTACTTTACCAATTTCTTAAACTTGAAGGAGTTGTACACGAACTGGTGCATCTAATGGAGCCGGAAATGGTGGCGGTTGTATGGGGTAGGGATAAGGGTTTTTTTGTCATTTAAGATTATATTTATTTTGTATTAAAAAATTGAGGATAAAATGGTCCATTCACATGATTGGGGTGTAAGTGAAAGTTAAAACCAAAATCTTCATCTAGCTGAAATATGACCTAACCTCAAGGGGTGTCAGTGTAATTTACCCAAGAAAAAAAGAAAGCCGTCACTTCATCGTAGGACTAGGCGACTAGCTTACAAATTCTGAACCATCATATTCCGTGTTTGAATTTGGGTTTGAATTGTCTTTGTAAGTTTTTGATTTAAAATGCTACTCTCATTATGGGGTTGGAGTAAGTAGGAGAGCTACAAGTTTAAATGATAAATAATTGCGAGAGTTTTCACGTCATAAAAATAAAAAAGTAGAAAATTAATACCTTAAGGAAACTTGTACCAAGGGAGAAAAAGAAATTAATTTGTAGCTTGAAATGAAATTTTTTAAAAAAAATTGATAGATTCAATTAATATAGAAAATTGAATTTTGTGATGTTTTTCTTGAACGAAGGAGTAATTTAGTTGTAGTAAACTCAAATATAAGTTTTAGGACACGTTTTAATGTCAAATTTAGCTAATTACAACATTACTTACTGAGAAAAAAATTATATCTCACACTTTTCCTAAGGTGCAAAAACATTCGTGTTTAAATTATATATGTGTTTTGTCAATAATTACGCACATTTGTAATTTGCAAATCATTTGGGAGTCCAAAGTGACTAATGAGTGTGCTAATTATTTATTAAAAAAAATTTAAATAAATAAATAAATCAAGAGTAACTGAAGTTTTAGTGAACTTTTAAAATGAAGAAATTAAGAAGGAACGGTTAGTTTCATGCAAGCTGCATATACATTTAATATTGGCGATAAATAGCACAAAATTTATTTCGGGATGTTCATGATTGTTATTCTTTAAAATCTGAATTGGGGTAAACAAGAAAATTACAGTAGTTTTTTTTATTTTTAATTTTTTGGTACTACCCTCTGCATTTTATACCCATAAGTCACAAACCGTATAATCAAAAGAGTATTGTGTGGTGGACAGAATTTAGCGAAAAGGGAAAGTAAGAAAGAATGTCGTCCTCAGTTAGTGGAGAGTGGTCCACGCGTTCCTCAACAGTAGTTTCCGCGTATGCATGTCTCTTTCGCATGCAAGGGTGGGCTCGGCGTCGTTGGCGTCGTTGGCGAAATATATTCATTAACTTGAAATTGTCAAATCTCCACTCAAACATCCAAACTGAAAATCAATCAAGAATTTCCAAGAAGTAACATTTAGACCAGGTCATGAGGTGCAAAAAAAAGGCAAGATTGAAAAGTACTTAAGATGGATGAATCTTCACCCAAACAAGCCCTTAAAAATCCCCATCAAAGGTCCATATGCAACCCCCAATAGATTGACATAGCTCATGCGTTTATTTGAATATCTGGAAAAGAGTTTTGGGGTTTCGGGTACTAAATAAAAAGGGTTCTACTCTACTCAGCTTTTTATCCAGTAGTTGAATTGGGACCTAACGAGCCATGACAGACTATACCAAAGGAGAGAAATTCATATCCTGCTCGATGGTTGAAGGGCGTTCTTGTAAGAGCCTCTTTGAATTAAAAAAAGAATAATAACATAAAATACAACAAATACACTGTTATACTTATATGTCCCCAGTTATCAATGCCTTTAGACAAAAGCCCACTAGCCTGCATGATAGATGATAATTGCCAGTTTCCGAATCATTACAAGCTATAAAAAGCAAAAAAAAATAAGAAAAATCATTGTGAAAAGTGCAGTAAGATGAAAAAAAGACTCAGACGCAAACGTAATTTATGAGAGAGAGAGGGATCACTTTTAAACTATCACAGACCATTGGACTTCATTCAATAGATTAACATATGGCATAGTTCTACTACTCAAAAATATATATATATATATATATGGCATAGTTCAGCTGAGTCACAGTCTCGGATCCAGGATATTGTTTTGAGGAGGGCATCATCGAAGAATATAAAAAAAAAAAAAAAGTAGACAAATTTAAAATACAAAAAAAAAAAAAAAATTGTAGGCAAATTGTTTCTTAAAAAAATGTTTTTAAAAAATTGTAGAAGTGGGCCATTTTAAAATTTGAGTGGGGGTATTTTTTAAATTTTAGCTAAAACTTTAGGTAATAATATAAATTATAAAAAATTTAGTAGAGAAATTAGTGAGATAAAAATGTGAGGTGTGGGGGGGGGGGGGGGGGGGGGGGGTGTTTAAAAATTGAGTAGAGATCTTTTTAAAAAAATCAAATAAAATTAAAAATAAAAAAAAATAAATTCAGTGAGGGCCTCCGTCCCTCTTGAACGGGGTCCGAGCGTGGTCACAGTAAGATTTCCCAAATTTTTCACTATATAGTGCAAGGCTTTAAGTGAGGATGTGAGGGGGGCATACCATATTTAGAACAATCACACGCGCTATATGCTGCAAGTCTCTCTAATTACCTTTAAGTCTTTAACCAGGTCCCTCTGCCTCAGGAAAAAAACAAAAAAAAAAAAACTGCAAAGGCTCCACCTGACCACTAACCGATTCTATGAGTATAGAAATATAGAAGTACAGCACAAGAAAAAAGGAAAGTACAACACAAGAAAAAAGGAAAGAGAAATATTTTTTTTCTTTTTCATTTTAAAAAAAGGGTACACATTGACAAAATACAAGTCCCAGAACTTTGCAACACGCTATCATATATAAATACGAGAATTGATCAAGGCTTATTCCAAAGTTCCTTTTTAAGGTTGAAACCTGTAACCTTCATTAACCTGTGTTTAAATCAACAATTACCAACTACAGGCAGAAAAAAGAATGTCTATAGTAGGGTTTTTTTTTTTTGGTCCCAACAATTAATTTCCACAATGTACTTTGCCAGACTCAAAACTTCCACCTTTCACTTTAAAATGAAAAGAAATACCACTAAGCCACAGGTCTTGATGGTAAAGAATGTCTATAGTTGACATAGTAAAATACGCGTGGCACCAGATCAAGGATGAGTCTGGCTCTGATACTAACTGTAACGAGTGGACGCTTACCTATTTATCAAAAGCTTAAATTGTTGAGTAGTGTTGCATACCCACTGTAAATACCTAATATTCGGTTGGGTTCAAAATCATAATAAAGTAACAAATGGTGAGGTTTAACTTGCAACATAGTAGAATTTGAGTTGAGTTGAGAGAGGTGGAAGTCCAGGCAAACTCGAGAGAGAGAGATAGAAAAAGGATGGCAGTGTACAAAAATACCCTTGACTCCCTTGATGAAAGTGTGAAGTGTGGAGAAATCTGGATATATCTGATAGAGAGCCTAAAGCTCTCTCCCTATGGGAGGTCATTTCCTCCTCCTTTTTGTCTACCCCCTCTTGGCCTTAGGTCATTTCTTTTTATAGGCCAAGTGAGAGTGGGTGATGTCATCGATGACATTACGTGTGAGTCCATTAACTAAATAATTAAAAGATAATAATTTCTCAAATAATTATAAAACAATGTTAAATAAGATGGGGTGCTCCGGAGTAAAAATTGTATTTTTCTCTCTACAAGTCATGCCGAGTGTCGACTCGACGAACCCTGAACTTCAGCCACCAAACCAAAACCTCCTAAGATTCCAGGTAATCCTGAGTCATGCTTCCAACTTAGGTCTTCGTTCTTCTGTTCGAAGTATGCTGATGTTGCAGTAACTTTGACTGTTGACCCAGCTATGTGGGCTATTGCTACTAATGTGTCGTAGCTCATTGACCGTTTGATCAAACTATGTAGGCCAAATGCCATGTGGACTCGAGGGTATGACACTCACCCATTTATACCCCTTTCACTTTTCATCCGAATCCGACGTGAAACAAATACCCTCGTAACACTAAGCATTTTTTTTTTCCGGTTCAGTGAACTTACAGGTGGTCTTAAGGTCAAGGTCTGTGGAGCGATTCAGTACCTAAATCTTTTTGGAATGGCCATTGGGTGCACCATTTCAGCTTCTACATGCATGATGTGAGTAGGATACAGTATTTAATTGGGAGTTGTTGGATTGGTGTTTAAGAATCTTTGGCCTAATGTGTCTAATGGGTTTTAATTCAAACAGGGCAATCAAATGGCCTAATATATCGCTTCCACAAGAATGATGGGATAAATCATTGCAATATCTAGAGTAATCCATATATGATCGCGTTTGGGGCCATAGGAATTGTTTCCTCTCAAATTCAAGACCTTGATTGAACATTGTGGCTTTCAATTGTTGTCGTAGTCATAATGTAGAACCTTTTGCAAATAAGAAATTAGGGGGGAAAAAAAGGTGTCATGTGAAATTGGATGTTATTCTAGCTAGTAACTATCAATTAAATGAATTTTAAAGTTCTGTTTAATCAGAAAACAAATATAATTAATGGTGTTGATGATGGATTCTGCGCAACCCGGATCTGATCTAACTTCCTAAACAAAAAGAAGAAAAAGTGACCCTATAAGCGCCGGTGTGTTACCGGTGGAGTAGAACTATTGATGATGGATTTTGCGCAACCCGGATCTGATCTAACTTCCTGAACAAAAAGAAGAAAGAGTGACCCTACAAACACTGGTATGTTACCGGTGGAGTAGGCTCCGACGAACAAGTCAGTGTGCGAAGTAATCTCTCTCTAGAGAAATCAAAAGATTAAGTTAAGATTTATTGCAAACCAAAAAACATCGATTAGCTCCCTTCTCAATGGGGAAGCGCACAATAACTTAAAACAGTAAATTAATCAAAGTAATAAGGCGGTGTGTAACCGACCAAGATATATTATATAAAAGGAAATAATTAAAATAACTGAAATCAAACTTATATTATTGAATAACTTAAAACAGTAGGTTAACTTACAAATTACTGAAAGTGGTCTGATGAATACAGCATACTGAAATGTATTTCACTCAGAAAAGATAAATAAA